TGCCTTTTGTATATGCTAGCTCTCCGCACGTGTGTACAATAAACTTACGCTTCTGATTAAGACAAAGACTTTTGAGCTTTCTCCTTGCTTTGGGGTATGTAATTCTACAACAGTACCGAGCGCAGACCATAGTCGAGTGGACAGAACCATAGACATGCGGACCGGACAGAACCATGGACTCGCGTTCAGGACCTCCCGTGTCCCTCATCCAAAACTCCTGAATTTAAAGCTTGGATACCAAAATGTTTCCCATGCACTAACAATGCATGTTCTTTGTGTGAGTTATTATTTGACTATTTGGGCAGAGAGTGGATTTTCTTAGTTTTTTTCCACACAGTTAGTGCCACTTTATTCCCAAACTCTTGTTAATTGTATCGAGAAATATTAAATAAAGCTTAATATCAAGGCCTGGACTTAAGCATTTTGATGAGAATAACTGTATATTGTGAATATAGGCTACAGAGTATACTGTATACATTATAAGATAAGATACGATATACTTTATATATCACACAGAGTATGTACAGTATATATTTTACATTAGTACTGTATACATTTTTACGTTTTCTCCTGGAGGTGTGCCGCAAGATTTTTTCAGTGAAAAAAGTGTGCCTTGGCTCAAAAAAGGTTGAAAAACACTGCACTACACACACACTACACACTCACTACACACACACTACACACACACACTACACACACACTACACACACACACTACACACTCACTAGACATTCACTACACACACTACACACTCACAACACACTCACTAGACACTTACTACACAAACACTACACACACACTACACACACACACACACACACACTACACACTCACTACACACTCAATACACACTACACAAACACTACACACACACACTCACTACACACTCACTACACACACACTAACCACACACTACACACCACTTTCCCCTAAATTGAAAATAATATAAGTTATCTGTATTTTTAGCATTTGATGTTAAAGGGGTTTCAAATCATTTTCAAGTCATAAAATGGTTCTAACTAGTTTGTCATTCTCCAAAAAGTGTTCACGTGTGTATTTTGTCGTCACATATTTAGACAACGCACCAAAAAGTAACTCACAGGGTTCTTACTTAGAAGTATGTGCAACGATAACAAGTTTTTAGATAAGATGGAAATGTTGTGGTCTGATTGGTTCACAACATTTTACTTTTACAGGACTTAATACTTTAATTTAAAAGTTAGGTACCCTCTCTTTAATATGGAAAAGCCCAAACTCTTTGTTTGTATTAAATGACCATAATGTAATATATCTGATGTGCTGGTTTCAGTTTCGCTGCTGTAGTTAAATGCAGAAAGATGTTGTGCTGTAAAGTTCCACTGCCCCCTTGTGGCCGTACGCTAGAACTACATTGTATTCCGTCGCGTAAACAGCTAGCAAAAACGACCAGGCTCTGTATTCAAAGGTCTAAATGCTTTGCAGCGTCTCGGCCTAAACGGGACCTAAGTCATGTCAAAAGTCTTTCAAAAGTTTAGCGTTCTTTTCTCTCCTTCTTATATTTTAGGCCCAGGTTATACGGAGACAATTCAGCAGTAAAACGCTATAGTTGGATGTAGGTTGCTACCCCCCTTTCACACGGAGACTGTGCTCCAGGAGGCTGGGGCTCAAGTGTGTTGTGTTGTAAAGTTCCTCTGCCCCCTACTGGCCAGGCTATGGAACTACATTGTTTTTGATTCTCGTATGAACACTGTGAAATTTGCATAAGGAGCCTGGTCATTTCTGTTAATAGCTTGGCAATGTCTGCGCAGCACCTCCGTATAAACTGGGCCTTAATCTGAGGACGCAGACTGAGACGCTGCCCTCGTACTCCTGAGTCCTGCACTGATCTCACCCCTGAGGTCGGTCCAGGACTGCTCTGTGTACACTCGCCAAGTGCCTCATTAGGCCCAGGTTAATGAGGCTTCAATATCTGTCAATGACCTGGGCTGTGAGCGGGGCCTGTCAGATTAGTCAGAAGTAAACAAAAGAAGAAAGGGCCATTAGATCTGTGCTAACGTCACCACCTCAGCCGAAAAGTGGTTTAAAGATATTGAAACAAGGGGGAGGGGGTTTTTTTGGTAGTAAACTTCAACCAACAGGTCATGACAACAGGGCGGCACGGTGGCTGAGTGGATAGCACTCTCGCCTCTCAGCAAGAAGGTCCTGGGTTCAAATCCCGGCCGGACCAGGGCCTTTCTGAGTGGAGTTTGCATGTTCTCCCCGTGTCTGCGTAGGTTTCCTCCGGGTACTCCGGTTTCCCCTACCACTAAAAATATGTTCAATAGTTCTAGCATGTGCCTCCTGTACTGGCCCCGCTCCCATCTCTGTGTGGAGTGAGAGACAAATGCCCAAAATTAACAATTGTAAACCGCTTTGAGACTCAGATCTGCAGTGAAAAGGCGGTATATAAATAAAAACTTACTTACTTACTACTTACTTACTTACTTACAATTTAGCCTTTAATCCATGAATATAGGCTTCTGTGAAATAACAACCGTAGTGGCTTTGTATCAATAGCTCTTGGCCACTTTTTATTGTACATAATTATATCCTGCATAGACTATATTTGTAACATGCTGCACACTTGCTGACTAAAATCCCCACAAAATCCGAACTTTCTGAAAGCTGAAGGTTCTCTGTCAGCTGAGGTCGAGCTGTTTTAGTTTACATTGAGTTCTATGGGACTTTTTTCTGGTTAGCCCACGTGAATTTAGTCTGCAGTACCACAGCGCCCCCTGTGCCCATGGGTGGGACAGCTATAAGCTAGTAATACCCTGTCCAGTTATTATTATAGATCCATGGTGGAATCGGCAACTTTAGGCAAGATCTGAGGATAATACGTGCTTCACTGCATTTCTTTTGTTATTGATTTTTCTCTTGCGGTTCAATGCAGCAAAGTTGAAAGACAAAATATCGCAATCGAAAAATACTAAACACCCGAATATCACTCTATTTCCCAACATCTTGCAGCCCTACTTCACACTCTTTGCCTTTGTGTTGTTTTTAGTGTTTTAAATAGTAGCATAAGCTCACGCAGAGACGCAGAGTTGAGTTTGTCCTACAGTGAACCATGGCAGATGTGGGTCATACATTAGGACTCATGAGAGAAGTGAGTATGCAGCTGACATTCAGACTTCGTGAACTGGCCCAGAAGATCCACGAACGGCATCAGCACAGACCAGAGCGGACTTGGATGACGGCCAAAACGGGGAAAAAAACTATTGTGAAAAAATCTATACAGGAGGATATTTATCCAGCTCTATATGTGCTGGAGATTCTTATTTCACTGCGTCGCCACATTTGTCCTCGGCTCAAAGAATTAAAGGGAAAGACACAGCATCATAGATATATACAGTTATATACATTAGTTTATGTCACTAATGTCTTTGTCACTGCATAGACATTAGTGATAGATAGATAGCTACTATATTGATCTAAAAAGGAAATTGTGCATTGGTCGCTTGCTCGCAATCACACAAACATACAAACGTTACAAGTTGAAAACATAATTAAAACGGACAATAACATACATTAAGATCATTAAAAGGTCTTAATGGAGAAACACGTTCATGTGCTGGGGTTGGGTTTGGTGGAGGGCAGTGGTTTTGATCGGTGCTACTTGGATGCTAATGCTAAGCTAACACAAATACTTTACTCCATCTTAAATAATTCTAGAGCTCACTAAGGGTGTATTCAGACCTGCACATTTGCTCCACTTTAAACGAACCAGGATTCGTTTGGATCTCTGATCCGAATCTTTTATGCAGGTCTGAATACACACAAACGAATCCTGGTCCGGACCAAAGAACCGAACCGAGACCCACTTTTTGAGGTGGTCTCGGTCCGCTTCCAAACAAATTCTGGTCCAAGTCGAATCAGGTCTGAATACATCCGGTGTCGATCCGACACAACTCCAAGATACGTGCGCATTTTTTGGGCTTAACAAGCCGCAGACAGAAACTGAGGAATTAGCCATGCAGCGGCCAACTATGCTGCTAACTATGATGCTAACTATGCTGCTAACGCTACACAACAACAATGAGCCGTGTGCAGACCTGGAGCAGTGAGGAGACGCTGTGCAACAGGCTTATGGAGTTAAAACTGTTCACAGTATACATTGATGTTAATGGCAGCATCTTTAAATACTTTGCATTATTAAAAGCCTGACACTGTTTGACTCACGTCTCAAAGAGCAATGTTCCGCATCATGTAGTGAATTGTGTTCTTTGGTTCATACCTGATCCTCAGCGTCTGTTTGTCCCGTGGTTATTATAGATAATATATATATAATATATAATATATATTATAGATCCATGGTTTATCCACGATGCTGCTGTCAGTAAGTTGTGGAACAGGGTTATTATCATAGATCCATGTGTGGGACCGGGCACGGAGCGCACAGACAGTCTCCTTCGGCTTTCTCCTCACGCATTCTCCGACGCTGTTCCAATATTTAAAACAACGTGTTTCGCCTGCGTCATATGAGCTGCTGCTGTTGATGTTGAAGGTGGTTTTGCTCTAAAAAGAGCAAACAGAGGCAGAGCAGACATGCTGCACATACGAGCCCTCTGTTTTCCTCTGGTTCCGTGTCTATCCTCCGTGAGCTCTCTCTGTCCAATAGGAGCCGATCGTCACACGTGTCGATATGTTTATATAAAAAAGTTCACTTGCAAAAAGGACAGTCTGAATACGAACCGGAGCAAAAGAAAAAAGTTTGGTCTGCTTTTGATTCGGATCAAGCAAGCGGAGCAAAGGACTTTTCAGGTCTGAATACACCCTTAGGCCATACTTGGTCCCAGTTGAAAATTGTTACAGAAATATTAAAGACAGAAATTACTACTTTTGATATCATATTAGTAATCATTTATGTTTTTAGAATCTGCAACACATATAACAAGCACACCAAAAAGCTACCATACCATGTCTACACTGCTTAAAAATACAACATAGCCTGAATCTGGGGCCGAGGGCGGGGTACTCACGGCTGGGAGTGTGCGGTCTCGTAGCGCTCAAAGGCATGGCCCAGGTCGTGCTTGTTGTTCATGTAACACTGGGTGCACAGGTCGTAGTCAAAACAAACTTTGCACTTCCACCGCATTCCCATGATGCCGTGCTTCTTACAGCTGTCACAGATGATGTTGGAGTGCCGCACGCCTGCCGAGAGAGTTAAAAAACCGTTAAAAAACATTCTCATTTCCCATTTTTTGGCAGCATCACATTTATGTTATGGCAGAGGACGAGGTTTTTAAGTTTCATGAGGGTAGAAGTGGAGAAAACAGAACTATCTTTTTTATTTTAGATCAAGACTGATATTTAAAGGAGCAGTCTGTAAACATGTGGCCAAAAGTGGTACTGCAGCCTCTCCCACTCTCCCTGACTCAGGTTGCCAGATATGCAGACGAATCCAGCTGGGACCATAACAGCTGAATAGACAAGAGTTTTGTCAACAACAAATCTATAACCAACACCTTTTTCACAAAGATAGAAATCCTGGTTTTATTCCTTGTTTTGTCGTTAATGATTTGAGAATCATAACGAGATTAGGTAATTACATGAATGGACATTATAACTATGGGCGGCACGGTGGCTGAGTGGACTCTCGCTTCTCAGCAAGAAGCATATGTTTTATATTTTTCATGTGTTTTAACTGTTGATTCTCTGACCTGTGTTGGTGATTTCAATGGTTTTGTTAAGTCTCTGAGATGACTTCTGTTGTGACCTAGGGCTATACAAGAATACATTGTATTGTATTGTATTGTAGCAAGAAGGTCCTGGGTTTGCATGTTCTCCCTGTGTCTGCGTAGGTTTCCTCCGGGTGCTCCATGCACAATAGGCATGAATGTACATGAGAGAGTGAATGGAGGGAGTTGATTGGGGGCTTTGATGGTCCAGGGTGCTTTGGGTGACCTTGGTCTGTAAAATGCGCCATATGACTTACTTACTATATACTGGGGCTGCACGATAATGGAAATTAGAGCAATATTTGATATTTCGATAACAATAATATTGCAACATTTTTGTCTTTCACCTAAAATTGCAAACTGCATTGAAAATAAGCACAACATTAATGACATTCAAATGCTAATATGTTCATACTTTTTTGTTTGTTGTTCTTGTTGAATGTTGATGTGTCTGTTTTGTTTTCTTTAATAAAGGAAAACAAAAATGATCATCTTTTTCATATGGATATCGCACCTACCAATATCACGATACGATATTTTTCCGATATATCGTGCAGCCCTACTATATACAACAGATCAAGGTGGTGCAGGTTAGGAATATACATGTAGTCTTATTCGTAACACAAAGTATATACATAATTGTGCGTCTGGATCTTATAAAATCCCAAAAAAGAATCCCATGTCAAGCAAAGAAGCGAGACACAAACAAAAATACGCCTCCTGAGATCTGCAGCTCTCTCACTTCATTAACCGAAGGCCAAGTCGCCGGGCAAAAGAACATCGTTCAAAGTGGAGCCAAATGCTAATGAATGTGTGTCATTCTGCCCCAAAATAGATCCACGGGAGAAAAGGCTTGGCTGCAACTCACTGAATCAACAGAACCATTACAAAATAGTAAAGTACCATGCTTCAATACAATGGCCAGGGGTCTCACATATGGTACTTCAAAGACTGTACACAGAAATGTCAGCTGTGTGGGTGAATTAGGTTAAAAAAACTGAACCGTATCGTTTAGAAAATTGTATAGAATTGTATCGAGGTAGGTATCATATCGACAGGCTCTGAAAGATACCCCGACCCTAATTCATCACAAAACTCCAAATCTTCCTTCGTCCCACAGGAAATGTCATTGTTGCAGCGCACATACAGGACAGTAGTAAGAGACACAGAGAGCACACAAAATATGCAAAATATGCTATGTTTCTTAGCTAGCTGTACATGCTTCAATAACAGTCTTTCAAAAAAAAATATATATAAATGTAGAGCAGAGTTAAATACTATACATATAGGGGCAGGATAATAAGTAGGATATTGAGAACTTTGCTTGATTTTGAAGTGTACTTAAAGAGAATGAATGAATCTAAATGAATTACACATTTTCATAATTGTAATAAATTTACCTCCTGGCCTTAAATGTTGATTTTAAAATAACTCATTTTATGAATTATAATATTACGGGTATTTCCCGCCTTCTTTTATCTTAGCTGTGGCTCAAAATCCACGGTGCCCTCCACCTGAACCAATCAAGGCATGCTCAGTTCGGAGCCTCAGAATCATGACTCCACCTTTAGTGGTTCAGTTGTAGAGCATTGGCTTTGAGCCTGAAGGTTGTTGGTTCGAGCCCACCACATCACTTTCTCCATCGACTCTCACTGATGTCATTGTGTCCTTGGGCAAGACACGTAACCTCTGGGAACAACAGGGTGTGTTGTGTCGTTAGGCAAAACACTTCACCCCCATTGCCTAGAATGAGTCTGGTGTGTGTGAGTGGTTGGGGCTGATGGCACAGACTGGTTGCCTCGCTTCTGTCAGTGTGCCCCAGGGCAGCTGTGGCTTCAGTAGTAGTTTATCTCCACTGTGTATGGAGTGAATGAATAATGACATGTGAAGCGTCTTTGAGAGTCCAAAAAAGCACTTTATAAAACTGATGCATTATTATTATTATTAAGAACATAAGATTCCCACTTTACTCCGATCCCTCCATTGTTGACACTGGTTGTTTTCTCTTTCTCCTCCGTACGTCTTGGCCTATTGATCTGGCGCGTGCACAGAAAAGTAGGCACGGCTTCAAGACCAATCAGAAAGGAAGCAGGAGGGAGCTTGGGTCGTTTTTTTTTTTTTCAAATCATGTACCTCTCTCTCTTTTTTTCTGACAAAGTCCAGACTATCACTTTAAATGAATCTTTGTTGATGTAAGTTACCTATCTGAGCGTTGTCGTACAGCAGCAGATCGAAGGCCCCCTGGTATCCGGTCCTGTAGTTGGTCCTGGTTCCGCTGTCCCACTGAACGACCACGGTTTTGTCCGGTGTGGTGGTGCTTCCCTGCCGCCCGATCTCCACCACTGTGCCCACGTGTCCCTCACTGTCGTCCTGGTTCCCCCACTTCCAGTCGTGACCCCGCACCACACGCATGCCCACCTCCATGGTGGCTGTGGTGGGCAGGGGCTTGCGGTGCACAGCCCGGGGGCAGGGGGCGCTGGCACTGCCCCTCTGAGGCTTGTGGGAACCGGAGGTGGCCCGAGAGGAGCAGATGGCGGGCAGAGAGGGCACCAGCGGGGTCTCCGGGAACAAGTCAGGGGTCACTGAAAACACAAGCAGCACACATTTCTGTTTTATTTATCATTTATCATGTCAATTATAGTATCTGGACTTTCAAAGGTTATAACTCAAAAATTAAAATGACTTTCATAGATTAGAAAAAAAGATGTATAACACAGACATATCAAAGAGATAGTATGGATAAAATCAAAGAAAGGATTGACAACATTTTTGTCAAAAAATTTTTTTTACCAACGACCAAATGAGCCTCTGATTGGATAATTCTGTGACTCAGTGACTCAACGTAAAGGCGACGTAAAAGGTCCTCAGACTGAAAAAGCAGCAGGAAATCACTTGATTTAATAAGAAATCATTTTAAAACAATAATGAACAAAAAAAATATCTAAAAATTGTACTTGAAAAAAATGGTGGTCTGGTTTCACATTTAGTTGGTTTACAATATGAAAGGCATCACATTGATTCTACTCTGCAAAAAAAAAAAAAAGATTCAAACTCATTCTGTCAAAGGATCAGGTCCATCCATCCATTTTCTTCCCCTTAATCCATTTCTGGGTCGGGGGAGTGGCAGTCAGAGCTGCACCCAGTACACAGAGCACCAGCCCCAAGGATCAGGTCCGTTACATAAAATAAACAGAGACACTTTAGGAAACTTGACTAATTTATAAAACAGTTTTGTTCTGGCAACTTCTAATGCACAGAGAGGGATTTGGAAACATGAAAAACATTAGCAGAGAAGCACCATGAGCTCCAGACTCCTCTCTCTGAGCTGCTCCAAGGACAGACTAAAAAACACATTTGTCCCCAACGCCATCAGGCTCTATAACAAAGCCACTTCAGGGAGGAGCCGGGGGGAGGAGGGAGGAGGCTAGAGAATTGTTTTGCAGTGCCTTAACTTCTCTTTTAATGATTTTAATGTATTTATCGTCTCTTTTTTAACGACTTTGCATCTTTTAACTCTAACCTATGTATGTATGCTTGTATGATTGCGAGCAAGGGACCAGTGCACAATTTCCTTCGGGATCAATAAAGTATCTATCTATTATTTATCATCTGATTATTAAAATCTATTTTTTGGCCTTTTGTCACACTTTTGTATCTTTAGTGCGATCAAACCCATCACTCAGATCCAGACTGAAATGATTTGATCGCCTTCGTATTAATTTGACATAAGTACAAATATACAATATTGCAGGTGCATTTCAAGGAAGGTTAAGTGAGGTGTTGGTGCTTACTGTAAGGTGTTGGTGCTTACTGTAAGGTGTTGGTGCTTACTGTAAGGTGTTGGTGCTTACTGTAAGGTGTTGGTGCTTACTGTAAGGTGTTAGTGCTTACTGTAAGGTGTTGGTGCTTACTGTAAGGTGTTGGTGCTTACTGTAAGGTGTTGGTGCTTACTGTAAGGTGTTGGTGCTTACTGTGAGGTGTTGGTGCTTACTGTAAGGTGTTGGTGCTTACTGTAAGGTGTTGGTGCTTACTGTAAGGTGTTGATGCTTACTGTAAGGTGTTGGTGCTTACTGTAAGGTGTTAGTGCTTACTGTAAGGTGTTGGTGCTTACTGTAAGGTGTTGGTGCTTACTGTAAGGTGTTGGTGCTTACTGTAAGGTGTTGATGCTTACAGTAAGGGGTTGGTGCTTATAGTAAGGTGTTGGTGCTTACTGTGAGGTGTTGGTGCTTACTGTAAGGTGTTGGTGCTTACTGTAAGGTGTTGGTGCTTACTGTAAGGTGTTGATGCTTACTGTAAGGTGTTGGTGCTTACTGTAAGGTGTTGGTGCTTACTGTGAGGTGTTGATGCTTACTGTAAGGTGTTGGTGCTTACTGTAAGGTGTTGATGCTTACTGTAAGGTGTTGATGCTTACAGTAAGGGGTTGGTGCTTATAGTAAGGTGTTGGTGCTTACTGTGAGGTGTTGGTGCTTACAGTAAGGGGTTGGTGCTTATAGTAAGGTGTTGGTGCTTACTGTGAGGTGTTGGTGCTTACTGTAAGGTGTTGATGCTTACTGTAAGGTGTTGATGCTTACTGTGAGGTGTTGGTGCTTACTGTAAGGTGTTGGTGCTTACTGTAAGGTGTTGGTGCTTACTGTAAGGTGTTGGTGCTTACTGTAAGGTGTTGGTGCTTACTGTAAGGTGTTGATGCTTACTGTAAGGTGTTGATGCTTAGAGTAAGGGGTTGGTGCTTATAGTAAGGTGTTGGTGCTTACTGTGAGGTGTTGGTGCTTACAGTAAGGGGTTGGTGCTTATAGTAAGGTGTTGGTGCTTACTGTGAGGTGTTGGTGCTTACTGTAAGGTGTTGGTGCTTACTGTAAGGTGTTGGTGCTTACTGTGAGGTGTTGGTGCTTACTGTAAGGTGTTGGTGCTTACTGTAAGGTGTTGGTGCTTACTGTGAGGTGTTGGTGCTTACTGTGAGGTGTTGGTGCTTACTGTGAGGTGTTGGTGCTTACTGTAAGGTGTTGGTGCTTACTGTAAGGTGTTGGTGCTTACTGTAAGGTGTTGGTGCTTACTGTAAGGTGTTGGTGCTTACTGTGAGGTGTTGGTGCTTACTGTAAGGTGTTGGTGCTTACTGTAAGGTGTTGGTGCTTACTGTGAGGTGTTGGTGCTTACTGTGAGGTGTTGGTGCTTACAGTAAGGTGTTGGTGCTTACTGTAAGGTGTTGGTGCTTACTGTAAGGTGTTGGTGCTTACTGTAAGGTATGGTGCTTACTGTAAGGTGTTGGTGCTTACTGTAAGGTGTTGGTGCTTACTGTAAGGTGTTGATGCTTACTGTAAGGTGTTGGTGCTTACTGTAAGGTGTTGATGCTTACAGTAAGGGGTTGGTGCTTACTGTAAGGTGTTGGTGCTTACTGTGAGGTGTTGGTGCTTACTGTAAGGTGTTGGTGCTTACTGTGAGGTGTTGGTGCTTACAGTAAGGTGTTGGTGCTTACTGTAAGGTGTTGGTGCTTACTGTGAGGTGTTGGTGCTTACTGTAAGGTGTTGGTGCTTACTGTAAGGTGTTGGTGCTTACTGTAAGGTGTTGGTGCTTACTGTAAGGTGTTAGTGCTTACTGTAAGGTGTTGGTGCTTACTGTAAGGTGTTGGTGCTTACTGTAAGGTGTTGATGCTTACTGTAAGGTGTTGATGCTTACAGTAAGGGGTTGGTGCTTATAGTAAGGTGTTGGTGCTTACAGTAAGGGGTTGGTGCTTATAGTAAGGTGTTGGTGCTTACTGTGAGGTGTTGGTGCTTACTGTAAGGTGTTGGTGCTTACTGTGAGGTGTTGGTGCTTACTGTAAGGTGTTGATGCTTACTGTAAGGTGTTGATGCTTACTGTGAGGTGTTGGTGCTTACTGTAAGGTGTTGGTGCTTACTGTAAGGTGTTGGTGCTTACTGTAAGGTGTTGGTGCTTACTGTAAGGTGTTGGTGCTTACTGTGAGGTGTTGGTGCTTACTGTGAGGTGTTGGTGCTTACTGTAAGGTGTTGGTGCTTACTGTAAGGTGTTGGTGCTTACTGTGAGGTGTTGGTGCTTACTGTGAGGTGTTGGTGCTTACTGTAAGGTGTTGGTGCTTACAGTAAGGTGTTGGTGCTTACTGTAAGGTGTTGGTGCTTACTGTGAGGTGTTGGTGCTTACTGTAAGGTGTTGGTGCTTACTGTAAGGTGTTGGTGCTTACTGTAAGGTGTTGGTGCTTACTGTAAGGTGTTGGTGCTTACTGTAAGGTGTTGGTGCTTACTGTAAGGTGTTGGTGCTTACTGTGAGGTGTTGGTGCTTACTGTAAGGTGTTGATGCTTACTGTAAGGTGTTGGTGCTTACTGTAAGGTGTTGGTGCTTACTGTAAGGTGTTGGTGCTTACTGTAAGGTGTTGGTGCTTACTGTAAGGTGTTGGTGCTTACTGTGAGGTGTTGATGCTTACTGTGAGGTGTTGGTGCTTACTGTAAGGTGTTGGTGCTTACTGTAAGGTGTTGGTGCTTACTGTAAGGTGTTGGTGCTTACTGTGAGGTGTTGGTGCTTACTGTAAGGTGTTGATGCTTACTGTAAGGTGTTGGTGCTTAATGTAAGGTGTTGGTGCTTACTGTAAGGTGTTGGTGCTTACTGTGAGGTGTTGGTGCTTACTGTGAGGTGTTGGTGCTTACTGTAAGGTGTTGGTGCTTACTGTAAGGTGTTGGTGATTACTGTACATCAAGAAACGACAAAAAACATTATTGTTGGAACATGTTGTAAGAAAACACACACATAAAACTATTAAAACATTAAACCACATTTCCCAATCTTCTCTAATCTGGCGAGAGCTGAGCCTATGATCAAAAGACTAAAAGATCAAGATTTCAATTTTGCTCAATCTCAACATGTGCCAATGCAGTATGTAAAAATCTGGCCAAAAGTGGTACTGCAGCCTCTCCCTAGGCAAGGCAAGGCAAGGCAAGTTTATTTATATAGCACAATTCATACACAAGGCAACTCAAAGTGCTGAACAAAACAAGAAAGCATTAAAATCATAAATAATCACAGAACATTAAAAAGAAAGATACAAATATAAAATCCCTCAGTTGTATGCACAGCTAAACAGAACTGTCTTTAACCTGGTTTTAAAGTGGTTCTCACCCCCGCTCCTCGGAGCTTACGTTACTCACATTTCCTGTTCAAATCTTCCTCTAAATGGGCGTAGCCTGGAGGACTAAAGGGGGCGTGAACGAGACTGGGCCTTTTACATTGCTCTGGGCGGGGGGCTGCTGACGTCAGGTCCAACTTGCAGACGTCAGGTCCAACTTCTGTGCCAGTGTTGGCGCCAGATTCAAAATTCAAATGTAGTAATACAGGTCGCCAGCAGATGGCGCCTCACAGACGGTTTTAGGCAGAAAGTCTAACTTTCAACTAATTTGCACCAAAGTGACAAGATTATGACCAGGATATGTACACAACACTATTGGACACTCATTTATACCGTTTATCAGCAAAAAAAAGTGGATTTGAGGGTGAGTTGTCCTTTAAACATTGTCAGAGAGGAGGCCTGTCTCACATTTTCAGGAAGACTGTTCCAGATTCCCCTATTCCCCTATTGTGGGAC